ATTTAATGAGATTGTGTTAGTATTTTGTGGTGACTTTCCGATATTTTAGAGTGTATGTAAACGTGTTTTATGGTGTTTATAGACGGCTTTAATGTGCTATATACAGGTGCTCTGTGGAGACTCTTTGATGTTTTAAAGTGTTATTTAAAAGTTTTTTGTAGTGATTATAGGATTGTTTTAGAGTGTCAGGTATTGTTAAAAAAGATGTGTATCCCTTTATTTTTTGTTTTCAATTGCAAAAACGGTGGCATAAAGTGACTTGGTAATTGAAATATTACAATGACACACACACACACACACACACACACACACACACACACATATATATATATAAATACACACACACAAATATATATATATATATATATATATATATATATATATATATACACACACACACACATGTATTATGTAAGCATTAGTAACGCTTATGTGCAGTTACTGATGAGACTTCAGCAACATGGGTGGTCTGGAGGAGGCTAATCGTGATGTGGGAGCCAGTTACCTTTCTCCCTCAGGTATTATTTCTCATTTGGGCTTCCAAGTCGAGCCATCTAAAACATGGGTACTAGGAAATGCTCTGGGGTGTAAAGGCGGCCTGTGTCGTATTGCTACATCAGCCATCGATGACCACTTAATCTATAAATTATATACTCCATGTGCCTCAAGACATTTTGCTTTAATAATCAAACGGGAGGACAAAAGGAGGACAGCGAGATAATGTTTCCAACGTTTTAGGAATAATGGTCGATTCATTTCACTTGCTAATATTTGATAATTTCTCTCACAGTCGAAGGTTTTTATCAGATCTAGAGGGAGGTTTACCACACGTAAACTGGACCATGTTCTTGTATGTGACATCTAGAGGGAGGTTTAACACACGTAGACTGGACCATGTTCTTGTCTGTGACATCTAGAGGGAGGTTTAACACACGTAGACTCGACCAGGGACTTGTCTATGACTCGTTTAGGGAGACGGTGAGACTCCGTCCACTATCTGACAAACATGACGCGGACGTAGAGTATCATTTTCTGGTGTGAACCTCCCTAACCGCCCACACAAGGAGGTAAACCAGGTGTGGTAGAGCTAGAATCCACGTCGTACCTGCAAACCCTTGCTCCTATGACGTGCTCGATGTAAGCCGAGTCAGAAGTTTTACATTGTTTGTGAGATCAGTTGTCCCCACTTGGGATGTGGCATCGACCAGAGACCTGTGTGCATTAGAAGATGGTTTTGTCCTGTCTACGGCAATGGTACTGCAGCTGGGAACTCACTGCGCCAACTTGTCTAAGACAACTCATACATCTCGTTGAGGTATTGTTTACATTATGTGTACCTGTCATGCCGTCACCAACAACACATAGGTGCTGAAATACCACCTTCCCAAACTGGTTGCACCAGTTGTCGAGCTGCCAGGCGCGACTAATGTCAGGACAGAGTCACCGATTTGCTTCATCGATCGCTCGTCACTAGCAACCCTTTTATCGATTTGACGTTCCTTTAAAAAAAAATGCTTTTGCCTGTTCACGCGTCAGTGAGTACACCTACCTGACACCGTCTCTCTTCAAGCAGACTCCCTCACAGGCTACAGGCAACAAACCCACACAGGCGTTAAGATACCACACAGCTACAGGTACAACACCACACAGCTACAGGTACAACACCACACAGCTACAGGTACAACACCACACAGCTACAGGTAAAACGCCACACAGCTACAGGTACAACACCACACAGCTACAGGTACAACACCACACAGCTACAGGTACAACACCACACAGCTACAGGTACAACACCACACAGCTACAGGTACAAACACCACACAGCTACAGGTAAAACGCCACACACTAAACAGGTAAAACGCCACACAGCTACAGGTAAAACACCACAACACAGCTACAGGTACAACACCACACAGCAACAGGTAAAACACCACTGGAGACAGCATGAAGGCCTGCTGGGACTATAGTGATATCACCATGTTGTCCTACCAGTCCTACCTTGGTGAGATAGTCTTGCTCGTCACTGCTGATGGGCAATCCCCATAGGTGCCTTTCGGACTCCGCCTATCGACCACACGATGAGTCCGTCAGCACAGTGCACAAACTCGGCATTAGCCACGTGCTTCTTACGTGTGCAATGACCCCAAATCACCTGTGCTATAAACACGTGTTTTACCAGTGAGTCTCAAACTTCAACGACCAAACAAGAGCAGCTAGCTGTCAGTGGGTATGGCTGGCTGGCGCAAAGGTTAGCACATTTGCCTGTCTAGTTGGAGGTCGTGTGGTCGAATCCCCCAGAACACATTTTGAAAATGCCTTGACGTCAAAGGTCAAGGTAATTTAAAAATGGATTCTTTGAAATGTACCGGGGTATTGAGGCGGTTAGTGTTACATTACCCTATCATGGATATAGTGCCGTTAGACGTGAGAGGTTAGACGTTAGACTCTAGACGTTAGACGTGAGAGGTTAGACGTGAGACGCTAGACGTGAGTGGTTAGACGTGAGACGTGGGATATTAGACACTAGACATTAGACTTAACAGGTTAGACGTGAGACTAAGACGTGAGATATTAGACGCTAGACGTTGGACGTGAAAGGTTAGATGTGAGACGTTAGACGTGCGACGCTAGACGTTAGACGTGAGAGGTTAGACGCTAGAAGTGAGTCGTTAGACGTGAGAGGTTAGACGCTAGAAGTGAGATGTTGGACGTGAGAGGTTAGACGTGAGACGCTAGACGTTAGACGTGAGAGGTTAGACGATAGACGTTGGACTTGAGAGGTTAAACGTGAGACGTGAGACGCTAGACGTTAGACGTAAGAGGTTAGACGCTAGAAGTGAGACGTTGGACATGAGAGGTTAGACGTGCGACGCTAGACGTTAGACGTGAAAGGTTAGACGTTAGGCGTTAGACGTGAGACGCTAGATGTTAGACGTGAGAGGTTAGACGCTAGAAGTGAGACGTTGGACGTGAGAGGCTAGACGTGCGACGCTAGACGTTAGACGTGAAAGGTTAGACTATAGACGTGAGACGTTAGACGTGAGACGCTAGACGTGAGACAGGGTTCGAACTGCACTGAAGACGGGTGACGCTTTAGCTGCCCGGAACTTGCGCCAGCGACAGTCATAGAGTTGTATCCACTGTCCCATTCGAAAACTAGTGACGGCTTCTCGACGTTTCAGTGTTAAGATCATCATGAGAAGTTCAAGGAAAGCAGTGAGAATTTTACCCCCCCCCCCCCCAACCCTCTCTCTCCGTCATCAAAACAGGAATGGCTAGAATATCTGTAGAACATCTGGCCACGCCCATCTGTTTTGTGGACACAGGACAGGTGGCATATTGCGTCAGTTTCATAACAGTTTCCCATACACACACCACAAATACCCATACAAAACACACACACATATACATACACATACCACGTAAATGTTTCTACTGCGGGTTAAATATTAAGTTGCGTGTGCGATTCTAACCTTGTCATTACTGCCAAGTAAGACAGTCATGTATACATGTATATGTATAGTTTTATAGCTTTTGCTGCGCCACCTCCCGTCCGTCAGCCTAGTCTCTAGTTAATGTATGTATAGTTTTATAGCTACAGCTGCGCCACCTCCCGTCCGTCAGCCTAGTCTCTAGTTAATGTATGTATAGTTTTATAGCTACAGCTGCGCCACCTCCCGTCCGTCAGCCTAGTCTCTAGTTAATGTATGTATAGTTTTATAGCTACAGCTGCGCCACCTCCCGTCCGTCAGCCTAGTCTCTAGTTAATGTATGTATAGTTTTATAGGTACAGCCGCGCCACCTCCCGTTCGTCAGCCTCGTCTCTAGTTAATATATGTTTAGTTTTAATTGCTTTGGCTGATTCATTGGCATTGTAGTTTGTATATGCCTTTTTGTTATATCCGAAGAATAGACAGTGTCCCGTTATCCGTAGCTCGTAGTTTATTAACGTTTTGTTGCCAAAGCAGAACAAGCCAGGTTTCTTCCGCTAGCAGTCGTCTGTAGTTTGAACAAAAGATCTCGGACAAGCGGACTTCACAGTTGAGACAATGTCCCACTCGTACTACCGGTCTAGCACGACCGTGCCCAGCAGCTCTACGGTCACCGAGAAGAGGACCGTGATCACATCGTCCAGCGACAACTACAACAATGTCAGTCCAGGGTTTGTGGACGATGATACCTCCACTTACTACAGATCCAGCATAAGCCCACGTACCACCACCATCAACCGGACCACGCTGCCGAACTCGCCGTTGCGAAGCATGCGGACAGTGGAGATCACGTCCGGATTTAGCTCCGGTCATTTCCCTGTTAGCGCCGGCAGCGTGGCCGCTATAGGAGGCGTCAACAACATCAAGAGCAGCCGCGAGAAGGAGAAGAAGGACTTGCAGGATCTCAACGAGCGTTTTGCCAACTACATCGAGAAGGTGCGTTTTCTTGAGGCCCAGAACAGGAAGCTGGCCTCGGAGCTCGAGCAGCTGAGATCGCACTGGGGGAAGGAGACCAATGCGGTCAAGTTGATGTATGAGACGGAGCTGGCCGAGGCCGCGCAAGCTGATTGATGACACCAACAAGGAGAAATCACGTCTGCAGCTTCGGGTGGGGCAACTGGAGGACCAGCTCAACGATGTCATGAAGCAGTAAGTTCCGGAACAGTTTTCCCAAGTGTATTGTAGCCAGTGATAGCACTCTTGTGTTTACCAAGCTCTCACAAAGGTCAAAATGAAGTTTTAACATGAACTGGTTAAAGCCCTCACAATGCAGGGCAAAGTCCTCAGAAAGACTGGATAGAATCCTTACAATGACAGGATAAAGTCCCCACAATGACAGGGTAAAGTCCTCACAATGACAGGGTAAAGTCCTCACAATGACAGGATAAAGTCCTCACAATTACAGGATAAAGTCCTCACAATGACAGGGTAAAGTCCTCACAATGACAGGATAAAGTCCTCACAATGACAGGATAAAGTCCTCACAAGGACAGGGTAATGTCCTCACAATAACATGGTAAAGTCCTCACAATGACAGGATAAAGTCCTCACAATGACAGGATAAAGTCCTCACAATGACAGGATAAAGTCCTCACAATGACAGTATAAAGTCCTCACAAGGACAGGGTAATGTCCTCACAATGACAGGGTAATGTCCTCATAATGAAAAGATAAAGTCCTCACAATGACAGGATAAAGTCCTCACAATGACAGGATAAAGTCCTCATAATGACAGGGTAATGTCCTCACGATGACATGGTATAGTCCTCACAATGACAGGGTAAAATCCTCACAATGACAGGGTAAAATAGGCATAAGCAGGATAAGGTCCTCACAAAGACTGGGTAAAATTCTCATAAGGACAGGAAAAAGTCCTCACAATCAGTATGAAGTCCTCACCAGCAGGATACAAGGGCTCACGCGGACAGCGTGTAGTCCACACAAGGCCTCAGCAAAGTGACACAACAGAACCGGATATGTCTAGAAAACATCAAACATTCAAAATGCAAAACGTTAGTGTGTCCTCGTACTTGTTCTTTCATCACACGCCAAATACAGGGATCATTGAATATCAACACAGAGACATTAGTGATGAAGAAAAAGAAGAAGATATACTGTAATCTATTATACCCCCTTCTAGGGTTCTATTACTCTCTCTCTCTCTCTCTCTCTTCTCTCTCTCTCTCTCTCTCTCTCTCTCTCTCTTTCTCTCTCTCTCTCTTTCTCTCTCTCTCTCTCTCAATTCTTTACCCTCTTTCTCTCTCTCTGTCTTTCTTTCTCTTCCCTTCTTCCCCTGGCCCTGTCTGAACGGTGTCCCAGGGAAGCACTTAGTCACTAATGACAAACTCCTCTAGTACCCAACGTAACAACAGAGCGCTGTCCTGGACAAATGGCTGACGTGTCCCAGGGAAGCACTTAGTCACCAATGACAAACTCCTCTAGTACCCAACGTAACAACAGTGCGCTGTCCTGGACAAATGGCTGACGTGTCCCAGGGAAGCACTTAGTCACCAATAACAAAGTCCTCTAGTACCCAACGTAACAACAGTGCGCTGTCCTGGACAAATGGCTGACGTGTCCCAGGGAAGCACTTAGTCACCAATAACAAAGTCCTCTAGTACCCAACGTAACAACAGTGCGCCGTCCTGGACAAATGGCTGACGTGTCCCTGTTACAGGTCGATGAATCGAAGGGTTTAATCCCCAGTCATCTGTTGCGCCACTTGTGCACACACAACACTGGACTCTTATCTACTGAAGCTTGTTGCATGTTTAGTGTTGTTCAGTGATCAATGTTTTGTGGAGCCCTTACATCCGCGTGAAATGTTGCACGTGTTCAAGGCGCGTCCTAGGTGTGATGCACTAGGACTAGCGAGAACATCTTAACATTTCACTGCTTTCATCATCATCATCCTCGGCTCACCATCATCTGCATTTTCTTATCATCATCGTCATTATCATCATCATCATCATCTTCGTAATTCGCTATGCTGAAAGCGTGGGCGACCACAGTTGGTCTTCTCATGTAGTCATCAGTCTGAGAACATGTCAGGGTGGCCACCTTCTTCCCTCCTTGCCCCCCGATATCGCAAAGAGACAAGACATCCATGTGTTTTCTGGTCTTTCTCTAGCTCTATATCCTGGGTATGATCCACGATCATCTCCCCACGATACACACTAGCTTTATCCTGATTGGTCAACCTCCAGTCACCCGACCTTTACGCACTGCTTGGGGGGAAGGGGGTGTTCGGCAATGCGTTCATATCAAGTGTTGTATATAAAGGAATGCCAGCGCTTTAATTACTACAAAAACATTTACAAACTGGGTCTAACCCTCAACACCCCATAGAGAATGCTGCATCCTATGTCACAGGCATTGTTTTTTTTTTTGGGGGGGGGGGGGGGAAGAAGGGGGAAGGGGGGGGGGGGGGGGAATAGTAAATGCAAGACAAGACAGAAAGTAAAACATAATACTAAATACCCCCCCCCCTCCCCCACTTGATCGAAACAGCAGACGAGACTAAAAAATCTACCAGTAGACCGTGTCCTAGTTCGTTTGGGGACATTATAGTAGATCAAACCGAGCTGGGACTTCTTTGTTGACCTTCTGACCTACATAAAACATTGATTGTGACACGTGACACTTGTAGCTGACTGTCTCTTCTGCCGTGCACACAGACTCGACGAGGCCAAGAAATGGAGGTCGCAGGACAGAGAGACCATCAACAAGCTCAACCAGCAGGTGTCGGAGCTGGAGGGAGAGATCCGTATGTTGAGAAGAACCAACGACTCCCTGGACACTGAGAGACAGAGGGACAAGGCCACCATCAGCCGGCTGCACGATGAGCTGGAGAAGATGCGAATTGTAAGTGCTGGCTGTGGGACAGAGCTCTCGTCCAAAGCCGTGTCTGGTCTGGGTTTCATTCTTGTCCGTTTTCATGTCTGTATGTGTGCACACAAATGGACGAGTGTATGTTTGAACAGAAAAAAAAAAAAAAAGAAGAAAAAGAAGAAGAAGAGGAAGAAGAAGAAGAAGAAGAAGAAGAAGAAGAAGAAGAAGAAGAAGAAGAAGAAGAAGAAGAAGAAGAAGAAGACTTTGCCGTGTTCCAGAACCTGACTTTTGATCGAACATCAATTTCTCAGATCTGGTTTGTTTGTATGCAGACCTTTGGTTCCTTTCATCTGCACTCCAATTTTGAAGGACGCCCCTAATTAGTCAACTCTTATGACATGCTTGTTTGGGAGCCAGTGGGTCTGTTCTTGTTTCCCCACAATGGAACCCTAGAACACACGCGGGAAAGAAGAAAATAATTTATTTGTATTTACACAATGCAGCGACATGTGTCAATAAAACTGCATGTTGTTTACTAACGTTATTAATAAAATTGTATATTGTTTATTGACGTTATCAGTAAGTCTTTATATAGTTACTGACGTTAACATATAAATGAATATATTTTACTGACGCTATCAATGTCTTTATATAGTTTACTGACGTTAGCATATAACTAAATATAGTTTACTGACGCTATCAATAAGTCTTTATATAGTTTACTGACGTTAACATATAATTGAATATAGTTTACTGACGTAATCTATAAAACTGTATATTGTTTACTGACGTCACCAATAAAACTATATAGTTTACTGTCGTTATCAGTAAAATTGTAAATACTTTACTGACGTTAGCAATACAATTGTTAATAATTTACTGACGTTATCAGTAAATCTTATAACAAGCTCTCATGAACAGAAGTTTACTGACGCTATCAAAAAAACTATATATAATTTATTGAAGTTATCAATAAAATTGTTTATAGTTTACTGACGTTATCAGTAAAATTGGAAAACAGTTTACTGACGTTATCAATAAAAATGTCGTCTGCAGGACCTCAGCAACGAGACCATTTCCCGCCTGGACGCCGAGAACAAGTACCAGACCCTGCTGGAGGAGATGGAGTTCTTGAAGAGCGTCCACGAGCAGGTGGGTGCTTGCTTGCTGCAGTACTTCCAGTCCTGTCTAGGAATTGTCGTGGTTGTAGTGGTGGCAATGTTGCATTCTTGTGTCCACTTTGTTGTAGAGGGAATCTCTTGTTGCAGGAGCGGGAATGCTGCATTGTAATGTTCATTTTGTTGTAGAGGGAATGTTGTATTCTAGTACCTGTCTTGTTGCGGGAGCGGGAATGCTGCATTCTAAGGTCCACTTTGTTGTAGAGGGAATGTTGTATTCTAGTACCTGTCTTGTTGAGGGAGCGGGGATGCTGCATTCTAATGTCCATTTTGTTGTAGAGGGGATGTTGTATTCTAGTACCTGTCTTGTAGGGGTAGACCACGACATATTCTAGCCACTGATCTACTTCTTCTTTTACGAGCAATCGGAGTATTTCATTGACTACATGTTTACCATTATAACAGTTGACAGAGTAATTTATTGACTATATGTTTACCATTAGAGCAGCTGATGGAGTAATTTATTGACTATATGTTTAGCATTATAGCAGTTGATGGAGTAATGTATTGACTGTCTGTTTACCATTTATCATTACATATATTTACTATTGTAGCACATGATGGACTATATGTTTAAGGTTGTAGCAATTGATAGAATAATTTATTTACTGTATGTTTACCATTGTAGCAGTTTATTAAGTAATTTATTGACTATATGTTTACCATTATAGCATATATATTTACCATTGCAGCAGTTGATTGACTATATGTTTACTATTGTAGCAGTTGACGGAGTAATTCATTCACAATATATTTACTATTGTAACAGATGACAAATTTATTGACTATATGTTTACAGTCTAGCAGTTGAATGACTATATGTTTACCGTTGTAGCAGTCGACAGAGTAATATTTGACCATATGTTTACCATTGTAGGAGTTAGAGTAATTTATTCACTATATGTTTACTAATGTAGCTGTTGACGGAGTAATGTATTGACTATATATTTACTATTACAGCAGCTAATGAAGTAATTTTTTGACTATATAATTACAACTGTAGCAGTTGATTGACTATATGTTTTGCATTTTAGCAGTTGACAGAGTAATTTCTTGTCTATGTGTTTACTATTGTAGCAGTTGAATGACTATATGTTTACCAATGTAGGAGTTAAAGGAGTAATTTATTGACTATATGTTCGCTATTGTAGGAGTTGAAGGAGTAATTTATTGACCATATGTTCGCCATTGTAGGAGATGAAGGAGTAATTTATTGACTATATGTTTAACATGGTAGGAGTTAAAGGAGTAATTTATTGACTATATGTTCGCCAATGTAGGAGTTGAAGGAGTAATTTATTGACTATATGTTCGCCATTTTAGGAGTTAAAGGAGTAATTTATTGACTACATGTTCGCCATTGTAGGAGATGAAGGAGAAATTTATTGACTATATTTTCGGCATTGTAGGAGTTGAAGGAGTAATTTATTGACTATATGTTCGCCATTGTAGGAGTTGAAGGAGTAATTTATTGACTATATGTTCGCCATTGTAGGAGATGAAGGAGTAATTTATTGACTATATGTTCGCCATTGTAGGAATTGAAGGAACTGTCAGCCCTGGCCTACAGAGACACAACGGCTGAGAACCGAGAGTTCTGGAAGAACGAGTTGTCCCAGGCCATCAGGGACATCCAGCAGGAGTACGACAACAAGGCTGACCAGATCCGCGGAGAGATGGAGACTTTCTACAACCTCAAGGTCGGTGGACACACCGTCCGGTCTGCTGTCTTTGTTATATAGTGTTGGTAGTGGACACACCGTCATGTCTGCTGTCTTTGTTATATAGTGTTGGTAGTGGACACACCGTCCGGTCTGCTGTCTTTGTTATATAGTGTTGGTAGTGAACACACCGTCCGGTCTGCTGTCTTTGTTATATAGTGTTGTCTAGTGTAGTGAACACACCGTCCGGTCTGGACACACTGTCTGTCTTGTGTCTATGTTGTACAGTGTTGGTAGTGAACACACCGTCCGGTCTGCTGTCTTTGTTATACAGTGTGGGTAGTGGACACACCGTCCTGTCTGCTGTCTTTGTTGTACAGTGTGGGTAGTGGACACAGCGTCCTGTCTGCTGTCTTTGTTATATAGTGTGGGTAGTGGACACACCGTCCTGTCTGCTGTCTTTGTTATATAGTGTGGGTAGCGGACACAGCGTCCAGTCTGCTGTCTTTGTTATATAGTGTTGGTAGTGGACACACCGTCCGGTCTGCTGTCTTTGTTATATAGTGTTGGTAGTGGACACACCGTCCGGTCTGCTGTCTTTGTTATATAGTGTGGGTAGTGGACACAGCGTCCTGTCTGCTGTCTTTATTATACAGTATGGGTAGCGGACACACTGTCCTGTCTGCTGTCTTTATTATACAGTGTGGGTAGCGGACACAGCGTCCTGTCTGCTGTCTTTGTTATATAGTGTGGGTAGCGGACACAGCGTCCTGTCTGCTGTCTTTGTTGTACAGTGTGGGTAGCGGACACAGCGTCATGTCTGCTGTCTTTGTTGTACAGTGTGGGTAGCGGACACAGCGTCCAGTCTGCTGTCTTTGTTATATAGTGTGGGTAGCGGACACAGCGTCCTGTCTGCTGTCTTTGTTGTACAGTGTGGGTAGCGGACACAGCGTCCTGTCTGCTCTCTGTTATATAGTGTGGGTAGCGGACACAGCGTCCTGTCTGCTGTCTTTGTTATACAGTGTGGGTAGCGGACACAGCGTCCAGTCTGATGTTTTTATGTTGTACAGTGTGGGTAGCGGACACAGCGTCCTGTCTGGTGTTTATGTTGCACAGTGTGGGTAGTGAACACACCGTCCTGTCTGATGTTTATGTTGCACAGTGTGTGTAGTGGACACACCCTCCTGTCTAGTGTTTATGTTGCACAGTGTGGGTAGTGGACACGTAGATATAAGCAGATATTTCCCCAAGTTTAGGAAATCTTCACAGACAACACCGCAATTCTCATTTCAGATGTGTTGACATAAAAGAAGAAGCTGATTCCGAGATGTTGAAGTGTTCGGGGAGGACAAGGAGAATAATAATGACAGTATGATGATGATAGTGATGAGGATGATGATGATGTGGGTGATAAGAGGAAGATGTTATGATGATGTTAATATTCTGTCTACATTTGCCAGGTGCAAGAGTTCCGAACTGGGGCCACCAAACAGAACATGGAGGTGACCACCATTCGCGAGGAGACCAAGAAGCTGCACAAACAGTTGGGAGACTACCGCACCCGCCTGTCAGACTTGGAGGCTAGGGTAAGTGATGTCTGTCAGACCGGGAGGCTAGGGTAGGTGATGTCTGATAAGCTTAGAGGCGAGAGTAAGTGATGTCTGTCAGACTTGGAGGCTAGGGTAAGTGATGTCTGATAAGCGTGGAGGCGAGAGTAAGTGATGACTGTCAGACTTGGAGGCTAGGGTAAGTGATTTCTGTCAAACTTAGAGGCGTGGAGGCGAGAGTAAGTGATATAATTCAGCACAGAAGTTTACATAACCAATCTGCAAAAGTAAACAATCTGCAACAATGACCAGTCTGCAACAATGACCAGTCTGCAACAATGACCAGTCTGCAACAATGACCAGTCTGCACAATGACCAATCTGCAACAATGACCAATCTGGAATTGATGTGCTCATGGACAAGCGGATACATGTGCAGACTGGAGGAGAAAAGAAAAGAAATACACGTCATGAAGGGTTAAACAATAAATATGCAGGCTCTCAGAAGGGTGTAGTGTGACAGAGAGGCGACTACCCCACATCAGACTGTCGCGGACACACAGTCATCTATATCACTAAGAACGGACATAACGAGCTGAGTAAAGACATATATTTTTGGCGTCTCTCATTCATGGATGCTTGCTGGGGGCAAACACATTGTGTACCAAGTATTGGATGGCTCACCTTAGTATCTCCAGCTGTGAAAGATATCCAGCAGGTTTTTCTTTAGATACCAACCACCCGCCGGCGGTGTCCGTGGCCTAGGCGTTGCGAGTCCGACTCGTAATTCCAGCGTACCGCGATCGAAACCCACTGCTGGCTGTGTGGATTTTTATCATGGTATGGGGCGTCGCCTACCGACCCAGCCTAAAATGGATACCAGGATGTATGTCCTGGGGAAGTAAAGACGGCCGGCGTAATGCTGACCACATTACCCACCTAGTGCCGATGGTCTTTAAAAATATGGTCGTTCTTCCCATGTGCCCGATTCGCCTAAAAGTCGTGAAAAGTGATCGTTACTTTTACTTTACTCACCAACTCCCGGCCCAGGGGAGGAAAATATAATTATTTATTGAGAATCTGTTAACTGTTACAATTAAAGTCATTCAGCGCGAAGAGGAAGAAGAAGAAGAAGAAGAAGATGATGGTGACGAAAAAGAAGAAGAAGAAGATGATGGTGACGAAGAAGAAGAAGATGATGGTGACGAAAAAGAAGAAGAAGAAGATGATGGTGACGAAGAAGAAGAAGATGATGGTGACGAAGAAGAAGAAGATGATGGTGACGAAGAAGAAGAAGATGATGGTGATGAAGATGATAATAATGGGACTGCTGGTGGTGGTGTTTGAGGACAAGAGAAAACAGATGGTTGACTAGTCTGTAATAATGATCAAGGCTGTAGGTTTATGACATGGCGTGTGCGACTACAATCGTGTATGTACCACCTGGATCGTTGAGCTTCAGTTCCTGTGTGTGTGTCTGTTGTGTAGTGTGTAAATAATATCAATAGGTATCGTAGCTCAGGCTAATTCTCTAATTCTGTCAGGACATAATCTGTGATGTCACTGGTTACGTTTATTTTGGTCATGTCTATGTTTGTCGTTTGCTTTTGAACAAGGTATTTGGTCCCTGTGAGATTTTCTTAGTGCGATAAACACACCCAGTCAGCAGTTGATGGCACTGTCTGGCAGAGGAGGAGATAAGGAGACGCTAGAAGTCTGGAGGTTCTAAACTGCATCGGTTGCGATTCAGTTTGTTCTTTCTCCTTGTGTCGCTCCTAGAATGCCCAGCTGGAGAAGTAAGGATTGTGACGGTATTAAACCAGGTACTTTCTCCTTGTGTCGCTCCTAGAATGCCCAGCTGGAGAAGTAAGGATTGTGACGGTATTAAATCAGGTACTTTCTCATTGTGTCGCTCCTAGAATGCCCAGCTGGAGAAGTAAGGATTGTGACGGTATTAAATCAGGTACTTTCTCCTTGTGTCGCTCCTAGAATGCCCAGCTGGAGAAGTAAGGATTGTGACGGTATGAAATCAGGTACTTTCTCCTTGTGTCGCTCCTAGAATGCCCAGCTGGAGAAGTAAGGATTGTGACGGTATTAAATCAGGTACTTTCTCCTTGTGTCGCTCCTAGAATGCCCATCTGGAGAAGTGAGGATTGTGACGGTATTAATCAGGTACTTTCTCCTTGTGTCGCTCCTAGAATGCCCATCTGGAGAAGTAAGGATTGTGACGGTATTAATCAGGTACTTTCTCCTCTTGTCTCTCTTAGTATGCCCAGCTGGAGAAGTAAGGATTGTGACGCTATTTAACCAGGTACTTTCTCTTAGTGTCGCTCCTAGAATGCCCAGCTAGAGAAGTAAGGATTGTGACGGTATTAAATCAGGTACTTTCTCCTTGTGTCGCTCCTAGAATGCCCAGCTGGAGACGTAAGGATTGTGACGGTATTAAATCAGGTACTTTCTCCTTGTGTCGCTTCTAGAATGCCCACCTGGAGAAGTAAGGATTGTGACGGTATTAAACCAGGTACTTTCTCCTTGTGTCGCTCCTAGAATGCCCACCTGGAGAAGTAAGGATTGTGACTGTATTAAACCAGGTACTTTCTCCTTGTGTCGCTCCTAGAATGCCCAGCTGGAGAAGTAAGGATTGTGACGGTATTAAATCAGGTACTTTCTCCTTGTGTCGCTCCTAGAATGCCCAGCTGGAGAAGTAAGGATTGTGACGGTATTAAATCAGGTACTTTCTCCTTGTGTCGCTCCTAGAATGCCCAGCTAGAGAAGTAAGGATTGTGACGGTATTAAATCAGGTACTTTCTCCTTGTGTCGCTCCTAGAATGCCCATCTGGAGAAGTAAGGATTGTGACGGTATTAATCAGGTACTTTCTCCTTGTGTCGCTCCTAGAATGCCCAGCTGGAGAAGTAAAGATTGTGACGGTATTAAATCAGGTACTTTCTCCTCTTGTCTCTCCTAGTATGCCCACCTGGAGAAGTAAGGATTGTGACGCTATTTAACCAGGTACTTTCTCTTAGTGTCGCTCCTAGAATGCCCAGCTAGAGAAGTAAGGATTGTGAAGGTATTAAATCAGGTACTTTCTCCTTGTGTCGCTCTTAGAATGCCCAGCTGGAGACGTAAGGATTGTGACGGTATTAAATCAGGTACTTTCTCCTTTTGTCGCTTCTAGAATGCCCACCTGGAGAAGTAAGGATTGTGACGGTATTAAACCAGGTACTTTCTCCTTATGTCGCTCCTAGAATGCCCACCTGGAGAAGTAAGGATTGTGACTGTATTAAACCAGGTACTTTCTCCTTGTGTCGCTCCTAGAATGCCCAGCTGGAGAAGTAAGGATTGTGACGGTATTAAATCAGGAACTTTCTCCTTGTGTCGCTCCTAGAATGCCCAGCTGGAGAAGTAAGGATTGTGACGGTATTAAATCAGGTACTTTCTCCTTGTGTCGCTCCTAGAATGCCCAGCTGGAGAAGTAAGGATTGTGACGGTATTAAATCAGGTACTTTCTCCTTGTGTCGCTCCTAGAATGCCCAGCTGGAGAAGTAAGGATTGTGACGGTATTAAATCAGGTACTTTCTCCTTGTGTCGCTCCTAGAATGCCCAGCTGGAGAAGTAAGGATTGTGACGGTATTAAACCAGGTACTTTCTCCTTGTGTCGCTCCTAGAATGCCCACCTGGAGAAGTAAGGATTGTGACGGTATTAAATCAGGTACTTTCTCCTTGTGTCGCTCCTAGAATGCCCAGCTGGAGACGTAAGGATTGTGACGGTATTAAATCAGGTACTTTCTCCTTGTGTCGCTCCTAGAATGCCCAGCTGGAGAAGTAAGGATTGTGACGGTATTAAATCAGGTACTTTCTCCTTGTGTCGCTCCTAGAATGCCCAGCTGGAGAAGTAAGGATTGTGACGGTATTAAATCAGGTACTTTCTCCTTGTGTCGCTCCTAGAATGCCCAGCTAGAGAAGTAAGGATTGTGACGGTATTAAATCAGGTACTTTCTCATTGTGTCGCTCCTAGAATGCCCATCTGGAGAAGTAAGGATTGTGACGGTATTAATCAGGTACTTTCTCCTTGTGTCGCTCCTAGAATGCCCATCTGGAGAAGTAAGGATTGTGACGGTATTAATCAGGTACTTTCTCCTCTTGTCTCTCTTAGTATGCCCAGCTGGAGAAGTAAGGATTGTGACGCTATTTAACCAGGTACTTTCTCTTAGTGTCGCTCCTAGAATGCCCAGCTAGAGAAGTAAGGATTGTGAAGGTATTAAATCAGGTACTTTCTCCTTGTGTCGCTCCTAGAATGCCCAGCTGGAGACGTAAGGATTGTGACGGTATTAAATCAGGTACTTTCTCCTTTTGTCGCTTCTAGAATGCCCACCTGGAGAAGTAAGGATTGTGACGGTATTAAACCAGGTACTTTCTCCTTGTGTCGCTCCTAGAATGCCCACCTGGAGAAGTAAGGATTGTGACTGTATTAAACCAGGTACTTTCTCCTTGTGTCGCTCCTAGAATGCCCAGCTGGAGAAGTAAGGATTGTGACGGTAATAAATCAGGTACTTTCTCCTTGTGTCGCTCCTAGAATGCCCAGCTGGAGAAGTAAGGATTGTGACGGTATTAAATCAGGTACTTTCTCCTTGTGTCGCTCCTAGAATGCCCAGCTGGAGAAGTAAGGATTGTGACGGTATTAAATCAGGTACTTTCTCCTTGTGTCGCTCCTAGAATGCCCAGCTGGAGAAGTAAGGATTGTGACGGTATTAAATCAGGTACTTTCTCCTTGTGTCGCTCCTAGAATGCCCAGCTGGAGAAGTAAGGATTGTGACGGTATTAAACCAGGTACTTTCTCCTTGTGTCGCTCCTAGAATGCCCACCTGGAGAAGTAAGGATTGTGACGGTATTAAATCAGGTACTTTCTCCTTGTGTCGCTCCTAGAATGCCCAGCTGGAGACGTAAGGATTGTGACGGTATTAAATCAGGTACTTTCTCCTTGTGTCGCTCCTAGAATGCCCAGCTGGAGAAGTAAGGATTGTGACGGTATTAAACCAGGTACTTTGTCTTCGTGTCACTCCTAGAATGCCCAGCTGGAGAAGCAGAACCAGGATCTGCTGAGAGAGCTGGAACAGAAGGAGCATGAGCATGACAGTGAGATCAGCTCGCTGAGAGAGGAGATGAACAAACTGCGTATGGAGATGGAGGGGATGTTGGTGGAGATGCAGGTGCTCATGGACGCCAAGCTGTCAATGGAGCTGGAGATTGCGGCCTACAGGACGTTGCTGGAAGGCGAGGAAACCAGGTAAAATTCCTGTGTTGCTTCTGTTGTTCTAATGAAATAGTGGCTGTGAGGGTGACGGGGGAGGGCTGGGGTGGGGAACCAGTTGCGATCCCGCTGTTGCTTCTGTTGTTCAAGTGAAATAGTGTCTGTGAGGGTGACTGGGGAGGGCTGGGGTGGGGGGGGGGGGGGAGAGAACCAGTTAAAATCCCGCTGTTGCTTCAGTTGTGTCATGGTATGTGAGCTAAGACTTAACCTGATGGTTATATTCCGCTACCCCATAGCATCAAAGACCTTGCTGCTGGAAAAGTCTTTAGTTTGTACTTGTATATAACAGGAGAAAAAGAAATTGTTTGTGAAAATCCACTACAAGCCACAATTAAAACATGGTTGAGTTAGTCTGAACTTGAAGATCACATAGAGAGCAATCTGCCAGAAAGATTGGGCTCCATTTAATTTCAGGATACAGAAGAAAGGACTTATGAAACAGCTGTCACTAGTACTGGATTGAAGCATAAGCTAACTCAGCTGCAGATTTGGGGTTTCACAATCTACAGGGGCCTCAACAATTTATATTTTAGTTTTAAACATGCAGTTTTATTTTGATGGAGACTTTAAAAAGTAATAATATATCCGTGATTTTGCAGACAAATTATTTATTATTTCTTTCAAAGAAATTATACGTCAATATTTTATCATGAGCAGTATTTTAGACCGCGGTGTTTATGTTTGGGTATTCTGAGATTAGCTGGTGTCATTTGAAACAGTTGGGCCACATGGCTTTCTATAAGTTAGGACCACAAAGCTTTCTATAAGATGGGACCACACAGCTTTCTATAAGTTGGGACCACGAAGCTTTATATAAGTTGGGACCACAACGCTTTATATAAGTTAGGACCACCAAGCTTTCTATAAGTTAGGACCACCAAGCTTTCTATAAGTTAGGACCACCAAGCTTTCTATAAGTAGGGACCACGAAGCTTTATATAAGTTAGGACCACGAAGCTTTCTATAAGTTAGGACCACGAAGCTTTCTATAAGTTAGGACCACGAAGCTTTCTATAAGTTAGGACCACCAAGCTTTCTATATGTTAGGACCACCAAGCTTTCTATATGTTACTCTCATAATCGTCCCAGGGCATGAAGGCGTTGTTGGTTATAGGAGAGCTGATACACTGGCAGGTGCTGCATTAATTGAAGATGGCGGACCCATGGATCACGCAGACACTGTCATTGCCCTTAGAGAGATAGAACGTCCTTAGGATTTTAGAAGCAATGTGTCCAAGTCACTGCTAAGAATACGCGAATTGGGAGTAAAGATCAGCACAGCCAAGCATGAGAAGCACACTGGACACACACGAAGTCTTGTTAACCAACATAGGACTGGTACTATTCACCGCACGACGCTGATGAGTATGTTTAGAGGGAAATCTGAGCACCTATGGATGTGTCCGGAGTGCTCTGTAGATAATTTAACTTATAACTCAACTCAACTCATACACAACTGGTCTCAAAGGTTGAGATGCGTGAATGAACTTCCTGGGCCATACTTAAACCCAGTCAATATATAACGATGAATGAAAACAGCGTAAGCAACAGAAACCAGTTCTTTCACACGTTCATGTTCACCATAGAAGAAAAAGAAGTACGTATCAGCCAATCAAACATAGGTTCCAGATCACATTTAACTCTAAACCCCGCCCACCTAGCTCAACACAACAGGTGGAAGTAGGAGGATTTACAGATACGCCATGTATGACCTGAAGACGTCTCTAGCAACCATTGTTATCTGATGATTCCTCCACTTTTAGATCTTTGAGATTGTCCAGACACATCTCCACCAACTCATCGGACCGTGAAGTGGTTGGCCCCGCCCACAGCCAGAATTCCACTGTGAATGAACCAATCAATGAATCAGGTTGATAAATATTGGCTCCAGGTTTCCTTGCTTGCAGGCTGGGCTCTCCCGTAGCTTGGGTCCATCTTTGCTTACGTGTTCTTGTTTTGCATTTACAGACACTGTTGGCTTCACTGGCAAGGATTAGTCACTGTTGACCTCACTGGCAATGACTGGTCACTGTTGACCTCACTTACAATGACTGGTCACTGTTGACCTCACTGGCAATGACTGGTCACTGTTGACCTCACTGGCAATGACTGGACACTGTTGACCTCACTGACAAGGATTAGTCACTGTTGACCTCACTGACAAGGATTAGTCACTGTTGACCTCACTGACAGGGATTAGTCACTGTTGACCTCACTGACAAGGATTAGTCACTGTTGACCTCACTGACAATGATAGGTAACTGTTGACCTCACTGACAATGATTAGTCACTGTTGGCCTCACTGACAATAATCGGTCATTGTTGACCTCACTGACAATGATCGGTTACTGTTGACCTCACTGACAATGATTAGTCACTGTTGACCTCACTGACAAGGATTAGTCACTGTTGACCTCACTGACAAGGATTAGTCACTGTTGACCTCACTGACAGGGATTAGTCACTGTTGACCTCACTGACAAGGATTAGTCACTGTTGACCTCACTGACAATGATAGGTAACTGTTGACCTCACTGACAATGATTAGTCACTGTTGGCCTCACTGACAATGATCGGTCATTGTTGACCTCACTGACAATGATCGGTTACTGTTGACCTCACTGACAATGACTGGTCACTGTTGACCTCACTGACAATGATCGGTCACTGTTGACCTCACTGACAATGATCGATCACTGTTGACCTCACTGACAATGACTGGTCACTGTTGACCTCACTTGCAATGACTGGTCACTGTTGACGTCACTGACAATGACTGGTCACTGTTGACCTCACTGTCAATGACTGGTCACTGTTGACCTCACTGGCAATGACTGGTCACTGTTGACCTCACTGACAATGACTGGTCACTGTTTACCTCACTGGCAATGACTGGTCACTGTTGACCTCACTGACAATGATTAGTCACTGTTGACCTCACTGACAAGGATTAGTCACTGTTGACCTCACTGACAAGGATTAGTCACTGTTGACCTCACTGACAAGGATTAGTCACTGTTGACCTCACTGACAAGGATTAGTCACTGTTGACCTCACTGACAATGATAGGTAACTGTTGACCTCACTGACAATGATTAGTCACTGTTGGCCTCACTGACAATGATCGGTCATTGTTGACCTCACTGACAATGATCGGTTACTGTTGACCTTACTGACAATGACTGGTCACTGTTGACCTCACTGACAATGATCGGTCACTGTTGACCTCACTGACAATGACTGGTCACTGTTGACGTCACTGACAATGACTGGTCACTGTTGACCTCACTGTCAATGACTGGTCACTGTTGACCTCACTGACAATGACTGGTCACTGTTGACCTCACTGACAATGATCGGTCACTGTTGACCTCACTGACAATGATCAATCACTGTTGACCTCACCGACAATGACTGGTCACTGTTGACCTCACTGGCAAGGACTGGTTACTGTTGACGTCACTGACAATGACTGGTCACTGTTGACGTCACGGACAATGACTGGTCACTGTTGACCTCACTGGCAATGCTGGTCACTGTTGACGTTACTGACAATGACTGGTCACTGTTGACGTTACTGACAATGACTGGTCACTGTTGACGTTACTGACAATGATTAGTTACTGTTGACCTCACTGGCAATGATTAGTCACTGTTGACGTTACTGACAATGATTAGTTACTGTTGACCTCACTGGCAATGATTAGTCACTGTTGACCTTACTGGCAATGATTAGTTACTGTTGACCTCACTGGCAATGATTAGTTACTGTTGACCTCACTGGCAATGTTTGGTTAACGGAGGGTTTTCTAGCACAACATGCACTTCACGCTTACTCCCCTTTTCTGTTTTTTGTTTCATTGTTGTAATTTGCAGTTTTGCAGTTTGGTTGATTTCTTGCAAAATTTTTTGTTTTTTCTGTCTCTTTCCCCCTCAAATAATATTGTGTGTGACTATTTAGACTGATCTAGCATTGACATAGTCTCCACACAGGACCTCCCTGAACGCTTTCCCGGGGGTGGGGGTGGGGTGCAGAGGAGACCCATGCTAACCTAACAGTCAGTAGACTTGATATTTAACAATATTCATTCCTGAAGAGGCTGACGTCCGGGCCCTACGAGACTGGTTTTTCCCGGTGTACATGTTGCTTTTGAGAGGGAGCTGTGTGGTCTTGAGACAAGGTGTCCGCCCTGAGTGCTGGAGCTCCTTTGTTCAGGCCCCCGTCAAGGCTGGCATTTTTCACGTGGACTTCTAGTAACGTTCCTTTCTTCCTGGGTAGGAAGATCAAACGCTCGTGTGTATTGTTGCGCATGTAAAACACCCTTTGGCAGTTGGAAATCGAAAAGAGTGGCACAACGACGCTGTCCGGACAAAATTTGGAGTTTACAATCTACCTTAAGTATGTCAGGATCTTCGCCAGTGCTACGGAGCTGGTGAACTGCGCTGAGGTTCTCCGGACTCGGGCTTACGTTTGAAGCAGAACGGAGCAGCTAACCAGCATTGTGCCAGGATATAGATCAGTTGTTTCAACCAAACCATTGTCTTGGAGGCGGCTCCTGTGGTTGTAAATGTTATAAATACAGTCTAAGGCTGTGCAACTGTAAAGAAAGATATAAACCCGAACGAAAAGTAGATTAGCGAGCCTAACAAAATAATAAACACAAACGAGAAGTGAAGGTTGCTGCTATAGAGCCTTCGTCAGCACCTACATCAATCAAATAAAACTGCACGAATATAAATAATTACTTAAGTGACCTATCCCGAAACAGGCACGTTAAAACTGTTGTACTATACACTTGCTATGTCAAGTCACTATAGTAAATGGAGGTTTCAGTGTGCATAACTATTTTGAAGTAGGATTTAGTTAGGTAATAATTATAAAGAGGAATGACAGTTTATTATGATTATACATTCATAATCAGAAACTATAACTATTAAAAATTACAGTGCAAAGTTTTGCCATTGAGAAAGACACGTTTCAGTTTATGTAACTATTATGAACGAAGTTCGCTGCTTAAATTACTGAAATAAATGAATTGAACTGTTCATGTTGCTAAGATAATCAAAATAAACTTGTTATGTTGTTGAGATAAAAAAAACTTTTATGTTACTTAGCTATTATAAACATAATTCACCGGTTATATGACTTGGCTAAATGGAACTAACTGGTTATGTTACTCAGCTAAATAGAACTAACTGGTTATGTTACTCGGCTAAATGGAACTAACTGGTTATGTTACTGGGCTAAATGGAACTAAATGGTTATGTTACTCATCTAAATAAAACTAACTGGTTATGTTACTCAGCTAAATAGAACTAGCTGGTTATGTTACTGGGCTAAATGGAACTAACTGGTTATGTTACCCGGCTAAATAGAACTAACTGGTTATGTTACTCTGCTAAATGGAACTAAATGGTTATGTTACTCAGCTAAATAGAACTAACTGGTTATGTTACTCGGCTAAATGTAACTAACTAGTTATCTTTGTCTGGTGTCTGCCTGTTTAATGTGTGCTTGTTTGGTGTCTGCCTGTTTAATGTCTGCTTGTATAGTGTCTGCCTGTTTAATGGCTGCTTTTCTGATGTCTGCCTGTTTGATATCTGCTTACGCCGCTGCATATTTGATGTTAACTCATTTCTGACCCTCCCCTAGGGTCGGCCTGAGGTCGGTGGTGGAGCAGACGTTGGGAGTCCGACAGAGCGGAAGTGCCCGACTCTCCGAGATGATCAACACCTCAGAGGGTCATAGTTACGAGTCGTCTGGTTCGTACCACAGCGAAATCATCACCAGCAAAAAATAATTTTCTTTTGCAAGTAGCTATCACATAACCTTGTACTAGCGGTCAGTTGCCTTGCTATGTTTGATGAGACCTGTTCCCTTCCTCCTGAGCAGATGTGGATGCTTCTTTGTATGGTTTTTTTTTAAAAAATTTTTTGTATTTGATTAAACCAATTAACTCTTTAGCCGACCAGCTCATCACGTTTTAAATCAGTGTTCAAAATGAATATCTTTCTAGTTGGAAAACACTTCACACATTGTTTATAACCACCACATGTTACTTTACATGATTGTTACACTAATTATAATTTCATAAAATATTCTAAAACCTTGACCTGTCAAAACATAGTTCTGTTTGGAGACTTTGACCAGTCAAATCATAGTTCTGCCTGGAGACTTGGACCAGTCCAAACATAGTTCTGTCTGGAGACTTTGACAGGTCAAAACATCGATGTGTTTGGAGACTTTGACCAGTCCAAACATCGATCTGTTTTGTCGTAGTTACCTGTGTGATCGGTTAAAGAGTTAATTTTTATTGCATTTTTTTTTTATTAATAGCATTTTGTTACATTTTCAAATAATGTTTTGTAGACTTAGTGCTAGCAGTGTCAAACATGATTTCAGCTTTCATTGTCGATTGTAATATTTAGCTATTTGCTGATGATTCATCATCATTCGGTTTTTCTTAATTTGTTAACATTTTATTTCTAGTAACACATTACTTTGACTTACTAATGTAACAATATCTTTGTTTATAGAATAGATCTTTGGTTTATTTCACTTTTGGAATGCAGTACAATACTGGGCTCTGTGGTTGGATGTGCAGTACAACATTAGGCTCCTTGGTTGGATGTGCAGTACAACACTGGGCTCTGTGGTTGGGTGTGCAGTACAACATTGGGCTCTGTGGTTGGATGTGCAGTACAACATTGGGCTCTGTGGTTGGATGTGCAGTTAAACATTGGGCTTTGTGGTTGGATGTGCAGTACAACATTGGGCTCTGTGGTTGGGTGTGCAGTACAACATTGGGCTCTGTGGTTGGGTGTGCAGTACAACATTGGGCTCTGTGGTTGGATGTGCAGTACAACACTGGGCTCTGTGGTTGGGTGTGCAGTACAACACTGGGCTATGTGGTTGGGAGTGCAGTACAACATTGGGCTCCTTGGTTGAATGTGCAGTACAACACTGGGCTCTGTGGTTGGATGTGCAGTACAACATTGGGCTCTGTGGTTGGGTGTGCAGTACAACATTGGGCTCTGTGGTTGGATGTGCAGTTAAACATTGGGCTCTGTGGTTGGGTGTGCAGTACAACACTGGGCTCTGTGGTTGGATGTGCAGTACAACACTGGGCTCCTTGGTTGGATGTGCAGTACAACACTGGGCTCTGTGGTTGGGTGTGCAGTACAAGATTGGGCTCCTTGGTTGAATGTGCAGTACAACACTGGGCTCTGTGGTTGGGTGTGCAGTACAAGATTGGGCTCCTTGGTTGAATGTGCAGTACAACACTGGGCTCTGTGGTTGGGTGTGCAGTACAAGATTGGGCTCCTTGGTTGAATGTGCAGTACAACACTGGGCTCTGTGGTTGGGTGTGCAGTACAAGATTGGGCTCCTTGGTTGGATGTGCAGTACAACACTGGGCTCTGTGGTTGGGTGTGCAGTACAAGATTGGGCTCCTTGGTTGGATGTGCAGTACAACACTGGGCTCTGTGGTTGGATGAGCAGTACAACACTGGGCTCTGTGGTTGGGTGGGTAGCATACTAATCTGCCTGCATGACGACCACTTGATTAAGTTAATAATTACACGTGTGAGGCTGCCTGATTGAGCAATGATTTGACACCTTCCCTGCCCTTACCCTTTTTCCCTACAGCTCTGAAGTTTGTGTACTGTGCTCAACTTCTCGTTTTGTGATCCACATAAAGCTACTGAGTCACCTACGAAGTTAAATATGAACGAACGAACGAACGAACAAACATTATGTTTAAAGGGTTAGGAATTGGGCACACATGCCTCTCTAACAATCTGCCCTTCTAGGCTCATTCCTTTCATATATTATTGTTTTTCATTATGAGCAAATAAGAGAACATTTGGCCTAACAAATGAACAAGGAAATAAAGTGAACCACTTGTGAAATGGTTGAGAAACATCGAGAACCAAACCTGAAAATATCCAGCGAAACGTGAAGAGAATTGAAGAACAACTAAAACAATAGCCACATGAAATTCAAGGAAAACAAACAATTGTGCCACGTTTACATAAACCAATAGACGCTGAGGGATAATGTGATCAGTCCCAGACCGGCCGCCTTTACCTTCCCATAACTATTCGTGGTAACCATGCTAGGCTGGGTTGATAGAAAATCTTGCTGACTTTAGAAACAGTCTGAGCCTAGGGATAGATTTGAACTCTTGGCCACCAGCCAGGCAGGCGACGGTGTAGAGCGTTGACTCTGTATGGGTGTGGGTGTGAACATTAGCATATGTCGGGTAGTAATCTCATGTCCTTGTAATGTCTGCCACACAGTTGTGTGTGTGTGTGTGTATGCGCGCGCGTGCGTGGGTGTAGACATTATCACACATGCGATTGTGCGCACAAATCCCTCTGCAGCCTGCCCCACAGATTTTGTGTGGGTGTGTGGGTGTGTGGGTGTAGGTGTGAACATCAGCACATGTGGGGTTGTACTAATATTATGTTATTGTGAGGCATGCCCAACACATACTTTCTCTCGCTGGAACTAATCAACATGTTCTCGCTGGAACTAATCAACATGTTCTCGCTGGAACTAATCAATATGTTCAGTGCTACTTTCAACAAAAGGCTTTTGTTAGTTGCAAACATTTTTGGCTATAGTTTTATCTTTTTGTCGCTAACATGTGTCAGACTGAACACTTTCCCATAGTTTTGTTTTAACAAATTATATTTACGTCATGTCATTAAATCAGCTGTGTGACACTCTTATCAAGCTTTGTTTCTCATTTGATTTTTATAACTGATGATATTGTTTGCAATAAACAGGCCAGGACTGTAAGTGGTCTAGTCTGTGTAGTTTTAGACAATCACCACTGGCTCGGGTAGACTGGGACAGTGATTGTTTTAGACAATCACCACTGGCTCGGGTAGACTGGGACAGTACGTGGTCTAGTACTCAAAGGTTGACCAGTTGCAACATATGAGGAAGTTGACCTGGATATCTCGGTTGTCTCCCTTGTCCTCCTTGGGTGTCAAACCCTCCCCATCCAGGTCAGGCTGCAGAGGATAAATCTACGGAGCTGTGATTAAGAAGCTAAACCAATGTGGGAAGGCAAAACACACACAAACACACATACATGCAGATGAACACACAGGCACACACGCAAACACATATACACGCACACACACATGCACTCACACATGCACACACACAAACAAACATACTCGCACACACACAACCACACGCGCACACACACATGCATGCACACATACACACACTTGCATACACAGAGAAACAAAAGGATGTTTGCCCCCAGCCTTGAACAAGGAACACAACAAGAGGCGCCCCAATAACAAGCATATGTAGCAACGGGACAAGTGGATCTGAAGACCCCAAAATGGGACAGGTTTTCTGGGACTTGTGCCGGGGCTGGTTCTCATCCGAATGGTGGCACTTTGTGTCATGGGTGTAAATAGCTCACCGTGCGTTCCTGATAGAGTTGACCATGACTGGGTCCCTCAAGAGGACATGGGGCCACTCGAATATATACAGCACTGACAATAAAACAGATAAGGATAAAAACATGCACACAACTAGGGTAATGATCGCTTCAGGATGGCAAATAACAGTAACAATGTCACCGTGTTGATGATATTAGTTAGAAGATTACAGGTAATGCAGCGAAACAGAATGCACTGGACACATAATAGTCATAATATTAAATACTGATATATGTTGGATTAGACATTCGCGTAACAAAGTTGCATTGTAGACTAGACATTCGTGTAGCAATCTTCCATTGTAGACTAGACATTCGTGTAGCAATCTTCCACTGTAGACTAGACATTCGTGTAGCAATCTTCCATTGTAGACTAGACATTCGCGTAACAGTGTTACATTGAAGACTAGACATTCGTGTAGCAATCTTCCATTGTAGACTAGACATTCGTGTAGCAATCTTCCATTGTAGACTGGACATTCACGTAACAGTGTTACATTGTAGACTAGACATTCGTGTAGCAATCTTCCACTGTAGACTGGACATTCACGTAACAGTGTTACATTGAAGACTAGACATTCGTGTAGCAATCTTCCATTGTAGACTAGACATTCGTGTAGCAATCTTCCATTGTAGACTAGACATTCGTGTAGCAATCTTCCACTGTAGACTAGATATTCGTGTAGCAATCTTCCATTGTAGACTAGACATTCGCGTAACAATGTTGCATTGTAGACTAGACATTCGTGTAGCAATCTTCCACTGTAGACTGGACATTCACGTAACAGTGTTACATTGAAGACTAGACATTCGTGTAGCAATCTTCCATTGTAGACTAGACATTCGTGTAGCAATCTTCCATTGTAGACTAGACATTCGTGTAGCAATCTTCCACTGTAGACTAGATATTCGTGTAGCAATCTTCCATTGTAGACTAGACATTCGTGTAGCAATCTTCCATTGTAGACTAGACATTCGTGTAGCAATCTTCCACTGTAGACTAGACATTCACGTAACAGTGTTACATTGTAGACTAGACATTTGTTTAGCAATGTTACATTGCACACTAGACAATAGGCTAATAACATTACATTGTTTGCTAGATATTCATGTAGGAATGTAAAAATTATGGAATAGATATTTTCGTAACTATGTAATGACCAATTGCGACTGTGCAACATTCGCATCTCCACATAATCTGATATTTGTTGATCATTGTGTTTCACGAAATTGTTACAACTAACATATACATATATATGCGTATGTATGTGTTTTTATAAATTTATATATTATCTTTGCTTTTCGTGATTATTTTAAACTTGTATCATAATCTA